CCTTCTCTCAACCTCCTTAATATCTTCTTCTAAGCTTTGAATATCTTCAACTAACTTGGAGGCATGTTTCTGCTTTTGTTCCTCTACTGAAAGTAGAAAATGAAGCAATAGGTCTAATTCAGCATCACTTTGAGCAGCAGATGTAGATAAAATATCTTCAGAAGATAATTCTTTGATTCCACACATCAACTCAGACTTAAGTATTTCCCTGTTGCAGACAGAAAACAGAGGCTGCTGAATTGATTATATTTAGATAATACTCTTAATGGTAAAGACAAACAGGAACTACATTCAAATCATACTGCATTAGTGATGACAGTTTACGAGTTAAAAACAAAAAGAAGCTTGCCCACTTACATCTCATAATTGAGACATGCTTTTTAATTAACACACAAACATATTTAAAGAAAAGGCCCAGAAAAAACAAACAGATCATTAAAAATGTAATCATCAAATGATTATATTGCTATATATAAAAAATACCAGTTAAATCTAATCCTCATCCTAAATCTTCTAATGCCTTCTATCCAAGTGATCTTTAAAGATCTAATAATAGGAACAAATGTTTCCTACAAAATGAAACCTTTTGCTTGACATCATGCCTGGCATAAACCACACACACACACCACCCCTTTGGTTCAATTTACATTCTATTTTAACTAATTCCTAACTTAATTATGATAGATTTAATTAACCTATTAGTATTGATATGTATAACTACTACATTTTTTTATGTTCAGAATTAAGTCCACGACTGTCGGACACCTCGTATTCTTAAGTGGTAAGGTTACTTCTATTTTAACTAATTCCTAACTTAATTATGATAGACTTAATTAACCTATTAGTACTGATATGTATAACTACAATATTATTTTATGTTCAGAATTAAGTCCACGACTGTCGGACACCTCGTATTCTTAAGGGGTAAGGTTTCCAATTTGTAAACTAGGAGGGGAATGAGAATTGAACCATACATAGGAAACATAGTAAGCATAAAGAGAAACATCAGTTTTGATCATACAACTGAATGAACTCTCCAATCTTTATATGGTGCCATGTCAGTCAAGCCTAGTTAAACTGTTAGGTCCCTAGACCAGGTTTCTTTAAGGACTTATTGTGGAAATAATACAAAATGGCTAAGCCTAAATTGTCTAAAAAGAACAAAATTCTAGAGTTACTAAAAACTATAATAATAGACTTTTCAATAGTACATCAGTTTTATATTTAGAAGAATTATAATATATAATTTATTTATGCCCTGTTTGGCAACAGCTTTTAGCTGTTGCTTCTGTGATGGAAAGCACTTTGATATCAAACAGAAAAAATTAAAAGTACTTTTGGCCAAAACTAAAACTGAAATCTGTTTTTAATATATATAAACACAAAAGCAAATTTTACATGTTGATCAAAAACTACTGCTTTGAAAGAAAAATATACAGATGGTTTTCCAAAATTATTCTCACATACACGTATTATTTATTAGTCAAATATTATCAAAACTAAAAAATAAACAAATTTTTATTTATTTATTAATATTATCGTACAAATAACAATCTCAAAATAAATTTATATTTTTTTACTATTTTTTGTTATTTCGACATGTAAAAGTTTTTTATATTATAACAATTTAAATAACAATTGTTCAATTATGTTTAACACTACAAATAAATAATTCACTTAGTATGTATTTGTTAAAATTTAATAATAATTTCAAAAATAAAAAATAGAATCAAAGTAACAATTAGAATTATTTAAATCTTTTATTCTCTTCTTATGCTCTTTTTATATCATTTCAGCACTCACAGCTACTCCCATGAAATATACCACCTTAAATTTTTCAAAATAACATCTTCTACTGTTATTTCAACTAAACATCTAATGGTTTTTATACTAAAAATATATTTACTATGAACTATTTTAACACTTTTTACAGCTCATAACACAAGTACCAATTGATCAAATGGGCATTAGCCAATTTAAACTTAAAG